AGTGCTTACGTATCAAGCCACGTCAACGGAAGCATGGATCATTCATCACGCGCTCCAGGATGGGATTGGATGAGATGAAATATGATTATTCTAGCAATTTAATGTTAGGCGTAGAGCAGCTGATCAATCTTTGTGGTCATAGCATAACGGATCTGAGGTTCAGCTTTAAAGCCGGTGTGGGTTTCTCGCAAGGTATCATAGATGCGGTAAACGGAATTGATAGTCTCAAAGTATTGATAATTGATGGGAAACCGCCGAGTTATGACATGAACGACTCGATATCATTGGAAATATTGCTCGACTCGACTGGCAACTTGCAATCATTGACCCTCAATGTTGCTTTTCTGCGCACTCTAGATCTAAATCAACTGTCACTTCGTCAGCTCGAACATTTGTCTGTTAAGTGCCATCCATACAATCAAGGAGCCATCGGACGCCTTTGCAGAAATCATAGTAGCCAAATCAAGTGCATTGAATATTTACCACATGATCGTCGTGACCAACCCGGCGAAATGATGCTTGCGCTTTGAGAATCGTTGGAGGTCGTATTCACAGAATCCATTCCGGATCTTTTGCCAGTCAGCGTCTGCGATGTCAACTTCCCGCGCCTGGCGGTCTTCCGGTCTCTTAATTCTAACAGTATTGCTAGGAACCTCGGATGGCTAGAATTGAAGCTGTTTGAGAACATGGAAGTCTTCATCACGGGGTATTATCTTTCCAAAAAGTATTGGCTGCTCACGCTAAAGGCCGGGAATTGTCATTTACTCAATGCGCCTCCTCGATTCAAAAATATTATCTTCATTACTTACGGCGAGGACTTAATGCATGACCCACTGATGGTCGAGGGTTTTGGGCGCTATGGGATTAAGTGTCATTTCAGGAGTCATTTGACTTATCTTGAATTGTTAGTAAGTGATTTCAATCTTGAATTTGGCCTGAAACACCATCTCTAACGCAGCACGGGGATCTTTGACAGAATGTAGCTACATTGATGAAAAATCAAATCGAGTGAATAGGTGAAATGTGACAGTATGTTGGGTAACAAAATGCTCACAGGCTCTGTTTTGCAAGTCTCAAGGGAATTCAAAAGCGTGGAGACATTCCTTCTTTAACACACATTTCTTATAAAGTCAATAACGTCAATATATGTCAAATTTTTGCTCCCTTTGGGTGAATAGAAGAAGTGGTGTGTTTCTTGGTTCCACAGTAAGTTTTGGCTTAATGGGAAACAATGTCAGTGAGAGACTTCATTGCCTGTCATGCAAATGTATTGTGATTTGTTCAAGTGTTGATGTTGTGGGTGTCCAAGACATGAGAGTTTGTCTGAGTAAACCAGGGAGCACATTGTTTCAATGAAGGGGATGTGCTGATTCAGCTCAATGAATAAGTTTGGGGATGTTGAGTTTGTGTAATACGAGCTTTGCGGCGCCCGCCGCTGATAGGGCTAGTCTACAATAATAAAAATTTGTACTGAAGAAAGGAGATCAAACAAAAACATCAGATCAATTCTGGCTCATAGCACAGAGGATAGCGTGCAGCGCGGCGGGGCCTCTTAACTACCTGGATAGTGAAATCCCCAGGAACTACATATTTTGCCACGACTTGGGGCCGGAGATCTTTGCAATTACACTTTGAACTACCGGAACCAGCTCTTCCACCAATATTGCTAACCCTTCCATCCTTTCCACAAATACCTTCCTATGCCATCAATCCCATTCTATATACAGTACATGATCTTGATCTCAAAATTATTCAAAGTATCACCAAACAAATGCCTCCAGATGCCACAAGTGTTTTGTCATTGGACCAAAGAAACCCCAAAATTGAGTATGAAAGTCTGTTCCCACCTTTCCCATTTCCCATCGACTCAATTGATTTTTTGACTGAGGGAGCTACAGCTTTATCTAGTACAGAAGCTGAATACATGGCTCTAAGTGATGCTGGTAGAGAAGCAATGTGGTTGTGGCAATTACTTCAAGAGATTTGTTTTATTGATAACTCTCCAACAATCATCCATTTTGACATTACTGGTTCAGCTGCTTTCGCAACCAATGTGATTCATCATTCTGGTAGTAAACACATTGACCTTTGTTATCCTTTCATATGTCAACTTATCAAAGACAAGAATGTGGTTCTAAAACAGGTTAACACATCATTTTAATGTGCTGATTTCTTGACCAAGGCTCTTCCCAGACCAAGGTTCATCAATTTGCATGATCAATTAGGTTTCAAAGAGTTATCAAAGAGTGTTTCTTTGTAGACTTGTTCAGCATGGGGGGGTGTTGGATTAATTTTGTGATTCAAATGTCTCAATTCACTTATAATGTATTTTTCACAAATGTATTTTGTTTTTCATTTCTTTTCCCAAAATTTACTATGTTACATCATTTACCTCAATGCGTAATAATACGTCATCAATCTTATGATGTCATTTCATTTGTAAATTTCATTTTGAATTTCTTTATAACCTGATCTCAAACATCAGTTGGATGGAGTTTTGTTTTTCCTCATCTGACTGTATCTTTTAACAAAATCTTATGATAAAATTGTTGTGTTAGATTTCTTTCTATCTTATACTAAGATTTATGTTTTGTGTTTGGATCCAGTCAAACACCAAGAAACATCTGAAGTACAATTAGAAAGACAACCACAAAGCTTGCAGCTCCTCCTGCTAAGAGGGATATTACAAGAAACAACACAGAAGAGGATGCTCCACCCAATGAAGATAACACTAGCGAGAACGCCACCGGCAATCCAAATAAAGGCAGATCTTGTGACAAGAAAACTAACAGTTTGAAAGAGACCACAATCACCAAAAATACAAGCTCACTTCAAATATATAAAACAACTGTCTGACCAACATTTCTGGTTGAAGGCCTTCAGGTATGACACAGAAGTCAGGCCAATAGTAGTAGGACACCACATTATTGCATGTCCTCAAGATCTGTCCTTGACAAGACCTGAGCAAGTTAACTCATTATGAACTAAACCAAAACCTTACGTGATGGTTTCAGAATACGTCACAGCAATTGTATGTTTATACCATTGACATATACCAAGATTGTTTGAAATCTCATTAACACTTTCCAGATGGATACTTTTTCCTGTGTTTGATAATGAATGTCCTTCTCATAAAGCTTAAGCGGAGTGTCAAGATTGGAAGCATAGAAACCCTATTACTGTGAAATGGTATACAAAAAATCAGGATCATACTAATCTTGGAAATGAAGAAGAATCCAAAGATATCACGTTCCTAAAGGAAAATTGAGAGCCAACAACTGCAAAAATAGAGGAAACCCACACCAAGATGGTGGCTTTGGAGGAGGTAGAGGCAATAGAGGGAAATCCTTTAGAAGAAGAAGATCTAGGCCGCCTTACCACAAAGATGATTAAGATGCTGAAAGATCATCTCTTGATAAGAGGCATTTTGGATGTATTGCATACCTGAGAGAAACATTTTGTGTTAGCGGTGTAGAAGAATCCCTCTGGTGAAATTTTCCTCAGCAAAGTCATCTGAGAACTCCTTGTATGATTGCCTCTGAGACAAGTATGAGTGGTACAAGCTCCTTGTTGTATTTCCAACAAGCAATCAATTTTCACCAATAAAAATGCCAATAACACAAAAGAGACAAAACCTCCATTCTCAACCCAATTATATCACCTAGTACTAGGAACTCTTTTTCTTAAGCATCACTTGTGTCACATCACAGCAATATTTATAAGAGAATGTATGGAACAACCCATGACTTTTTAAAAAATCAAATTACAAATCAAGGTATCAACATAAAAACCTCACAAATCTCATTTAATCCAGAAATTTGATCATCACTACATAAAAATTTGGTTACCAAAAAATGTTACTTAAGTAAGAAAATCAAACTCCTGCCCCCTGGCTCTCTTTTGAAAATTATTTCCTTCTCCAACTCTCCACAACAGAAACAAATTCAAAAAAAACTATATATATTATTTCAATCACTTTCATCACCCCAAAAGAATGTAAAAACAAATCATGCATCTTCATCAATCCCATTTTTACTAGTTTATCCAGAACCAGGGGTTTTATAAGTCTTCAAATCTCTAGCCAAATATTCAGGAGTCTATCCCGCCTTGATGGCCTCCCTAAAAGCAGAAACAATACCAGGTGAAAGTCCTTGCAGATGTCCTTTGTTCCTTTGCATATGACCTTATTCTGTCAAAGATCAATCTTGATGTGATTGACGGGATCCTTTAGGTTCATTTAAACTTCTGGTAATATCCTTCAATGCTAATCCACCTTCTGATCCACCTCCTGTACCATTCTCTTCATCTCAAACTCTTGCTGTTGTCAAAAGATAAGATTTGAGCATCAATTTGCTCATTATTCACTCCCAATTTCATGCATACCAGGAATAAAAAACAATAAAGAAGAAGTCCCAGAGAGTTGAGACCTTTGAAGGCTTTTATTTATATCTTCAGTGTCTTCTGTTTCCTCTGGTAATTCATCATCCTCATCACTAAACTTGCCAGGTGAATGAGATGTGATTCCTTCTGAGCAATCACCAGGTAAGACAGGTAGACTACTTTGATCTGCTCCAGTTCCTTAATAACTGAGCTATATGTTGTAAATATCAGGAGTGGTGAGTGTTGTGAAAATCAACCAGATGGCTTACATAGTTTCCTTTGTTCTTTAAAGTTCTTTATGCCATTTTGTAAAGAGCACACTGTAACGGTTTTCAAGAAATTGTCTTTTCTTTATCATATTTTTCAATCATGGTTCTAAGGGTTTGTGTTGTATTCATCCAAGTCATCATCCAACAAACTCAGATAGATTTTGAACACCATTACAATAAGGTCCTTGCTGTACATCATATAAATCTTTGAAGAAGATGATGAAATAAAAACACAATGAAGTCTTTTGGATTTCACAATCACCACTGAGCCACTTTACCTATTCCCTTTAGTTGAAACATGTTCTAACTCACAACCCATCCCTCCAACCTTCCACAAGATCCTTCATCAAAATGGTCATTCAGTCTGACAACACACATCCAACACAGCATTATTACCCATTGGATCCCTCTGAAATTCTTGCCAGACTTACAATTGCTTTGGATTCTAGCACTGAACTGCCCCCAGGAGACCTTATGATCATGAAATCAACTGTTACAGCATGGGGAGGTCAATTCACAAAAGGTTGGCCAATAGACATCACTCATGTTTTGTTTCATGGGAATTTCTCCCAGACAGATTACAAATTCAAAATGAAGAAGGGAGTGAAAATTGTCTTGCCCAACTGGTACGTCTGACAATTTGATCTTGACCTGAACTGGCTCAATTCAAAATGGTGGTTCCATTTGTGAACATGCATCACACATCAGGCTCCATGTATGCACACTGCTTTGCACAATTGTTCCTCAAGGCCCATTCCAGTTTCCTATACTTCCTGTCCTCAAATCTCTTGGATCTCTCAAATCTACAAATGAGACCTCAGCTGCATCATTGTCAGCCACTCTGAAACATTCACTCCACAGGAGGGTGGCAGCGGGTGATCACTTGAACAGCCTGATGGACATTTTATAAAGCAATACTGATTTTGCGGATTTCTTCGAGACCCAGCAGGGCAGACAGGACAAAAACAGAATGAACAATAACACATTGACTGCTCTTACCAACAAAATTCATCCCAAGGTCAACGGCAAACAGGTGTATCTGGTTACCCCTCTGGAAATGAGCTTACCCAGCCACAAAATGTTTGTTAGAAGTTTAAAGCGAATGGGGGCCGATTTCTCCGACGCGCAAGCAGAGGATCCAAGTTGGAAAGGGGATCATGATGCATCAAATACAGTTCTGAGAACCGCACTTTCAGCCGCTGATTTTGTGATTTGTGATTCTTGCTCAGGATTGAAGTTTTGGCTGGCCTGGGAGTTGGAAAAGTCTATTGGACTGTTACAATGGATTACTGCTCTCCTCAATGTTGCAAACCCTCTCCATTATTGAATCTGATCCTCCTTGGAAAGACTCTTTGACTACCCTCTACCGCCTGGGATGCTTCCAGGATGGGATCCTAGTAAAAATGTGGTCTCAATCACCAACCACACTGTCTTTTCTTGGACTTGGCTAATTCCACTGATTGATACAATGGGACTCAAGTATAGTGGATCATTTGAACGTAGCGCATCCCTTCTCTTGGCTGCAAAGTGGGTCTTGTTTCTTCTTCAAAATTGAGTTCAATTTTCACTACTTTGACTGACACATATACTTTGTGTTACCCTAATCCTGCACAACACAGCCAAAGTGGTAAAAAGGTAGAGTGTGCGTCTGAATTGGGTATTCCCACCATCAATTATCTTTACCTCAAGGATTTTTTCTGGAGTTGGTCAAAGTTGGAGGTCAAGTCAATTCATACAAGCTACCCCAAAGATGGTGATTTACTTCAGCCAACTTACAAGGCTGGTTACACAATTGAGACCATCCAGAGATGGTCCCAAACATCAGCTGCCAAAGAGGCAAGAAAAACTGTTTTGCAAGGATATCATTGGTCTTGCAATATCAGTGACGCCCACCATATGTTTGAGCCTCATTGATTGGAACCTACAGCTCCCAAGGATAAAAAGGTGACCATCAGGGACAAATTGGACCACATCAATCTAGATGAGATCCCTCAGCCCAAGCCTCTTTCCAATCTTGCAATGTCTGAGAAGCCTGTCCCCGAGAACAACACCAAACTCAAGAGACAACTTTTCATGACACATCTGACAACCAGAGTAGGAACCAATGATCTAGCCCCTTACCGTCAGGTGCTTCCACAAGAAAGACCACAAAGAGTCTTAACAAGTTTGAAAAAGAAAACAGAAACTTACCAGCCCCATCTGCTCCCTCCAAACCAGGGCCTCCTCACTCTTCTGAAGGCATGCCTGACCCCAATCAGAGCGTTGGTCCTGATGGCCAACTTGTTCCTAGTGCTATTAAACCAACCAATTGCTCCAGCAGAAGTTCTGAAATGGTTGTAAGCAACTCTAGACATACTGACGGGAGACTCACTGGCCTTGCAAGCACCTGAGATTTAGTCTTGACCACTTGAGCAATGAAAAGAGTTCAAACAAACAGGATAGGGATGCTTCCAGGAATCATGAACTGCCAGACAAAATCAATGCTGAAGATCTCTCACTTGATGATATCACCAAAAGTAATGCCTCCAAGGCCATGGCCGATGCCCCCAAATTGGTCAACGGCAAGGACACTAGCAATGGATCATGTACATCTCATACAAAGAAAGTGCCCCAAAGACCTCTCTCTGACACCCCAAATCAAGCAAGAAGTGCTTCTCAGGCCATCAGGCGTGCTTTGACACAAACAACAGCAAAGAATACCACAGCTAAGGTGGCAGATTGCGCTGCGGACATGCTCTGACATGAACAAGAGAAAAAGTGTAATGTGTCATCAGGGCCAGGATTGGCAGGAACCAGTGACGGTGGTTACTTTGGTGATGTGGGTGCCAAGACTCCATCAGCTTCCAAGAAGTGTGGTGGGAAACAGAGAAGCAAGATCACAGGAGGTAGCAGCTTGGCTGAAACTGAACAAGCTCAACCAGTAGTAAAGTCAGAAGCTGGCTTTGATTTCTCTATAGGGTGTTGATTTGCTCATGCTTGTGTTTCACATTCAGCAAATCCAGAGCAGAACCACCGACCAATCTCATGCAAGCAGATTTTTGCATCCTACAAAAAGTGATCCAATGTAGAACTCCTACGCAGTGTAGCGTAGACTGAGCGGGAGAGAAAGGAAGTACAACAGATGCAGTTAAGCTGCCCTCAACCTTTAAATCTCCAATTTCAGAGCAGAGGAGTTCAGCATTAAACCAAATCTTCTTGCTACACACAACCAACACTTGTTATAATATTTTTTTATTCTTTCTACTGATAAATCAGTACCAAACCTAGGTCTGAGATAGCTCTGACTTGTCCAAAGACAGTACTGAGTGGTCACCAGAAGCCTCTAGACACTTAAAGTGAATAGACTAGGGTTAAAGAAAGTTCAAAAAAACATTACACAAATAATTAATCATGCTTCACAGTCCAACATTTTTCAAAAACGTTTCAACACTAAGATTGTGTAGGAAGACTAAAAAATAATGGCCGTTGCTATTCGCAGCCCACATGAAATCCATGTAGGTGCTGTACAAATTACGCCTACACGGTTGTTTTCCGCCAAAAAGCGCCTACATTTATGATGTAGGCACTTTTTCCTTTTTCAAATGCTGCCTACAGGCTGAAAAACCAATGTAGGTGTCATTTGTGTACGCCTACATTCTGAAAATAAAATGTAGGCACTATTTTCAAGCGCCTACATTCTAAAAATGAAATGTAGGCGCTATTTTCAAGCGCCTACATGAAAAAAACAATGTTGGCGCTCAAAAAAAGCGCCTACATCCCCAAAAAAAGATGTAGGCGTAATTTGTCGTAATTTTTGAGTGCCCACATTCCCTTTTCTGTATGTAGGCGCTGGCAAATGAGCAACCGCCAAGTAGGCGCTTGAAAAATACGCCTACATGGTCACTAAGGCATGTAGGCGTAAATTCCAAGCGCCTACATAAATTTTTCAGCCCAAATAAGCGCCTACATGCAGTCTTGCATATGTAGGCGCTACAAATCCAGCTTCATTACCTGTCAGACCAGAATGAAGCCCCATCTTGATGTTGAAATGAGAGCACTGGAGGACGGACAAGAAGAAAAAAGCAGTTTCCACTCGGAATGAGAGCACCTGAGGACACAAAAAGCAGTTTGGACTCAAAATGAGAGCACTGGAGGACGGAAAAGACAGAAAAAGCAGTTTCCACTTGAAATGAGAGCACCAGAGGATGGAAAAAGCAGTTTGGACTCGAAATGAGTGCATCAGAGGACAGAAAAGACAGAAAAAGCAGTTTGGACTTGAAATGTGTGCACCGGAGGACGGAAAAAGCGGTTTTAAAACTGATGAAGTTGATAGTATTTTGAGGGGCAGAGGGTTGAAAATCTTGAAAGTCCGTGTTCCAGAACTGGAAAAGGGGGAAAAGAGCAAAGGGGCCTCTATATAAGTTGAAGTGGACGTGGAGTTTGACCAAACTTCTGCGTCCACACACGTCAATACAGATGTAGGCGCTCAGAAATGACGCCTACATTGCTTTTTTAGGAATGTGGGCGCTGTTTTCCCACACCTACATGGATTTTCCTGCATGTAGGCGTGATATTCACCCACCTACATGTCAAATCTTAAATGTAGGCGCTCAGAAATCACGCCTACATGCGAAAGAAGAGATGTACGCGTAAAATTCAAGCGCCTACATTTTATTTTTAAAATGTTGGTTTTTCAGCCCGTAGGCGTCATTTGAAAAAGGAAAAAGCGCCTACATCATAGATGTAGGCACTTTTTCATAGGAAACCTTCATGTAGGGGCTGTTTTGGCAGCTCTTGAATGGTGAGACATTTTATGTGTCAGCTTCTGTGAGGCCTGGTCTTGAAACCATCAAGGAAGCAATCCAACTCTCAGATGGAAAGGTAGGTTGCTCAAGATCTATCATGTATGGGTGCATGATTGATGATGGATATCTTTCTCTTTACTCAGGTGTTGACCACAACTCCATTAGTCCAAGAGATCAGGGAAAAACCAGACAGCCATGTGATCTCATGTGAAGAGGATATTGGATTTTAAAAAGCTTTGATGAAGAAGACGTCAAAGGAGGACAACATTCCAATTTACACATCTGAAGTTGTCCTTGAAGCTAGTAACCCTCTTCCTTTGATGAAAGCCTTTGAGATCAGATTCTGGCATTGGCACTTGATTCTTTGTTGATGTTGAGCTTTCTCACTCACAATATGATCCATGGCAGTGATATATCTCAATTGGATACCCAAAACATAATTGATTGATTGATTGAAACTCAGCCCTTTTACCTTGATGTTTGCCCAATGTGTTTCAAATTCTGATATCTAGAATGATGCTAAATTTGACAAAGTCCCACGCAGCTTACAACAGCCCTTGACCAGGCCACTTGTTGAGTTCATCTCAATGCTTAATTTAAAGAGGGATTCATTCAAATCCACCATGATTGTAAGTACATGATTGAAAGAGGATGAAGCCTCTCTGCAAGATTATCTCAAACAACCAACACCAATAATTGCAAATTATCATTAAGTGTGTTGATGTATGTTCATTTACTGATCCATGCCATGTAGCTACACACATGTGACTACATCACACTGAACTGGTCCTATCCCAGTTCATACTCTCTGAACACATACATACAGTTGCATGGCCATCACATCTGGTACAAAACTGGATAGCCTACACCCCGGGCAAGGCAGCAATGCTCCACATGTAGCGTCATGCGCACGCTCCGGGGCGGGGCCGGAGCATCACATGAAGCGTCACTGGGTGCCGTACGCCAAATGTCTGAAGTGTCGCCTTGCCACACTGCACAGCTGTATTGAGCGTTGTCTTCTTGTCACCTCAACGTTTCCATTCATCGCAGTTCAAGACATATCAATACTCAACTCGAATCAATAATCAAATTAATCAATCATTCACTCAAGTTGCTGTCTGACTTCAATTCACTATCAACTCTGATCAATACTCAACTTGGATCCTTACATTGATCAATCATCTACCTCAACCAATCAACAACCTCGACTGATTCTCTTACGTTGTCACCCAACTTCTGTGTATTCAAGTGTGGCGGAACTAGTGATTTTCACTTGCTCTCATTGCATTAAAAGAACACATACCGACTCATCTGGGATCAAACAGCATGTCTGATTTTATCTTTCTCACACTGCACAGATCAAGGTTATCTACAGTTTTGGACGTCTGTGATGGCCGCAGTAGCCTTATTTTTAACTATGGAAGGTTGCCTTTTTGATCATCCCCAGGACCGTAAGGCTACTCAAGGTCAACATTGGGTGAGGGACTCAGATGGGTCTTGGCATAGCATAATCAATCGATCATCTCCGAATTTGGTCAGGGTGGAAATCGTAAGCGAAGTGATGAGTAACAACCATCCGATAGAAGTGGTTGAAGAGGATTTCAAAGCTTTGATTATCCTCTTAATGGACTTGAACAAGGTGAATAATTAACTTTTGCTATTGTATTCCTACATTCTTAATGGACTTGAACAAGGTGAATAATCAACTTTTGCTATTGTATCACTACATTCCCTTGGCCTGTCTACATGCCAGTTTTGCTTGAGAGCTGTGTTCAACTCTACCCTGACCATAATCCTACTAGTTACTGATTGCTAATCTTTGGTTTATTCTTTTGATGATGAAATTCCGTTTCAGAACAAAGTCAAACAATGCGAAGACTGGTGTGCAGCATTATAATGAAGAAGTCGATGCATATCTCTCTTATGAGTAATCCTTTCCACATAATGTTATCAGTCATTTTTGGGGGCTTCGCGTTCTCTCTGGCAATATGTTGTTAAATCAATAGTTCATCACCGTAAAGTTTATTGTTCAGTATAAGAAAAAAGTAATTTTTTGCTGATAGTCATGGATTGTAAAGTAAAGCAGTAAAAATTTAAATAGAACACTGGTTTGAAGAAATGATTAATTTTAGAGTTAGTACACAAATATGGTTTTCACTTCTGTATCATCTGATCATTTTTGACCGGGTCCTCATTTATGATGAGATATCAGATAACAAAGCATAGTAATTTACAAAAGGGGATATTTAATAAGTACAAAGGCTATGTAGGATTGATTTGAGAAAGCTGACTACAGACGCTGGAGCCTCATGATAACCATGAATCATCTACCCCAGATTAATCCATAATCCCACGACTTTGTTCCCAGATGAGCCGGTATGTGTTCTTTTGAGACACTCAGGACAAGTGCAAAGCCCTAGCTTTGTCATGCTTGAGTGCACATAAGTTTGAAGAAAACTTGAACAAATCAATTGAGTTTGTTTGATGTTTGAAGTAGATGATTGATTGATTTATGTACTAAAGTTGTGTATTGATAGGATTGATTGTCAATTGAAGTCGTTTGGCGAGTGGATTTGATCATGGATTCAAATTCAGTATTGATTGGAGTTGTTTGTTGATCCGTCTTGAAATACAAAGGAGGAAGACAATGAGGTGAGATGAAGAGGGAACGATGGTGGGTTTTGCGCGGGAGTATGTCAAAGAGGAGGAGAGGCGAGGTGAAACTACACATAGCTGTGCCGTGCCGCACCTGGTGACGCTCCAGATGTTACACCCGCAGCACCCAGTGACGCTTCATGTGAAGCTGCGGCCCCGCCCCGGAGCGTCCGCATGACGCTACATAGGGAGCGTCGCCGCCTTGCCCGGGGTGCTAGTGGTAAAGGCAACACTCTAGCATGTGTCTCGGCTAATACTGAGGTCCCTGGTTCAAATCCTGGTCTAGTCACTTTCTTTTCTG